TGCACAGAAGGGACAGTCTTGCCTTTGTAGTTAGAGATAAAGCAGGAGTCTCAAAGCAGGTCCCCCGAGCATCTGTGTCACTGTACATTTTGCTGTTTCATTTGTTCTCTGCAATGTGCCACTGAAAGAAGTGATTTCTGCTTGCAGTATTACATCACCTCTAGGATTATTTCTTGAAAATGTGTCTTATCTGCCATGTCACAGTTGTTCCTCTTCTATTGAGCTGATACCAATGAGTCCACCTGTGGAATTACTCCATAAAAACAGACAAAAGAAAGAACCAAACAATCCCAAACCAAAAGAAGAAGAAATTAAATATATACTGTTATGTCTGCCTAACTGTCCTTTCCAGCTGTCTGCTTCAAGGTTCTTTGAGGATTAATTACTTGATGTTCATGGAATTATCTGAAAATAAAATAAGCTGTACAGCTGGAATTCACTCTTGCAATTCCCACTGTCCATTAAGAATTTTGTCTCATTTATCCACATATTAGTGACCTCTAAACTGGGCTATCACAAAACCCTTGTCTATTCATGGAATCACAGGATGGTTGGGGCTGGAAAACCATCCAACAACTTCCACTACATCCAATTGCTCCAAGCCCCATTCAATCTCACCTTATACACTTCTTTAAAATCCTTGAAGATTCCACTTAGGGAATCTGACTTGCTCACTGATCTTGGAGGTAAAAAAGGATCAGTTCCTTTCAAAGTCATCCAGAAGAATTCTGCATGCTGGTTTGTCCATCACACAAGCTAAAAACAGCTCTAAGGCTGCCTTTAATTGGTGAGGTAATTTCCCTTATTCCAGTTTGAAAAAACTGGAATAAGTAAAGAAAAAAAGTGGTAATTATGAAGAATAGTAGTGCTTTCTTCTAGTTTCATTGTGCTCATGTTTCCCTTGGAGCCCTAGCCCATTAAACAGATTATTTGATAGCCATCTTAGCTTTCCTTTAAAACACAGGTTGGATCCACACTTCTATGAAATCCAGGAGGCAGAATCCCTTCTGTTCTCAGAGCTGGAAATTATTTATGGCCAGACAAGGGGACTGTGGTCTTAAAAAACATAAGAGGAATTTTTTCCTAAGAGCAGGACCCAGCAATGTCTTTCCAAAGCTTGGCACATCTAGGCTTGCTCTTGCTTTCCAAAATTACCTACACAATCTGCACATCAGTGTCTGCCTAGGGCTGCCTCTGCAGTCAGAGCTTTAAGCCATAGAAAATATTTACATTTGAGTGTGGAGTTCAGCCCCAGTCAGAACTCTGTTCCTGAGAAATGCATTGTTTCTAAAAGGACTCCACAACACAGATTTCACTGCCTTTTAGCAGCTGACTTTGTGAAACTGTCTATAAATACATGGAGATGCTTTACAGCTTTTTAAAGTCTTCTAGGTTATCTGCATCTTTAGAGATCCTTCCACATGTCTTAAAATAGCCTGAGTTCTCTTCCAAGGGTGTTGACTGCTCTAATTTTACATTTGGGGATTGTTTTATCCCCAAGATAACACAACACACAGACAGTGTGATGGTTTCCCTGTCTGGGCCCATCAATCCCAGCTCTTCATTTGCCACTGAACAGCAGCTGAAGCATAACAGATGCCATGGGATCGTGACACAGATTCACAGGACAGTTTGGACTGGAAGGGAACATAAAGATCTTTGAGCTCCAGCCCCCTTCCAATATCCCAGGCTCCTCCAAGCCCATCCAACCTGGTCTTGAACATCAACAGGTAACCCTTCTCATCAGTATCTCATTTCAACCACCCCTAACATTTATATTTTCTATCGTTGCCTGTAACTAAGTTCTCCATTGCTTGAAACCCCCTGTGCATCCTCCTTGGGACCCATCCTAATATTTTGTCTTTTCAGGAATGTTCCCTCAGCCTACACACAATGTGCTTAATTTCATGGAGCAGTGATCCCTGTCTCATTGAGCTTCTAATCTAAGAAACAAATTGCACTTGGGTTTCATTTTATGGATACAAGTACTAAGAAACAGAATTAAAGGCAGTTTTTCTTTCTGAGGTTTTCAAGTTTCAAAAGATGATGCACAAAAAGAACTTGCTGGAAACAATTGAAAGATTTCTGCTGTGATATTTGCAGCTCAGCCATTGTTTCCATTCTCAGTTGTTTGAAATAGATTCTTTCTTTCTTTCTTTCTTTATTTTTTTATTTCACTGTAATATACAGAAAGCAGATGGCTAAAATACTGTTGGAATGATTTCCAGTGTTTAATTGGAAAAATTTTCTTTCTTGTTAATAATAACACTGTTTTTTAACACTGTTTCTTTTATATACCTCTATTTAATTTAATTCTCAATTCAAAAAACCCAAAACTCTGGGGGAAAAAATGAAAGGGGGAAAAGATTTTGTCAACTTTTAACGAAACCCAGTGATTTTTCAAGTCTTCTTTTGAAGGAAAACTTTTTTTCTTGAGGTAAACCCTCAACCAGCCATACAGGCAAACTTAACAAAGCAGCAGAGACTTTGTAAATCCATCTTTTAAATGCCAGATCCACTGGGATGAAATGTGGCAACTGTTTAATAATGCACAGCAGCACTATACAATAATTTAAGATGAGAAGACAAGGAGAATGACACGTGGAATTGAAAATGCAGCCTGAGTGTAAGCAGGCAAAATGTAATCATCTGAATGTGAATTTTGCCACGGCAACAGAGCGGGAATTCCTGCACTCACAGCTATTGCCATGAAATCTTTAATGACAACTTGTCAAGGTGTCTTTTATGTCTTCTTCTTAGGAATTGACATCCACAAACACAGAAACCCCCAGCCTTAGTTCTCAACAACTTGGATGAATGAGCTCCTTGTGGTGAATCCTTATTGTAATTTCTTCTGAGTATTCAATGTATTTTTGGAGATGCCCTTAGCTGAATGTCATAAACACTGTTTAGACTTTGGGGCACCTGAGAAGGTCAAAATTGGACCACAATCAACCCCATTTGGATGGGTGAGGGGAGGGATAAAAAGTCACATTTTCATATTTATTTAGAATGGGTTTGTGTATTTAAAAGTTTTTATTATTCCCTCCCTCTCTCCATCATTCCTCTAATGCTTTGCTATCAAGTCTCATCGATTTCTTCTGATGTGCTTGGGCTTATTTTGCTGCTGAAGGGACAGTTTAAAGCCAAAACAGGATGAAAGATCTGGTGCATTTTTTAACTTCTTCCCTTCTCATTCTCTGCAGAAAAAAAAATAGCCCTTTGTCCAGCAAGGAACATCCACACAGAGGATCAAACAACATTTCAACTCATCCTGTCTGGACAGAAAATGAAGCATTTTTGAGGTCTTAATAAGTCAAAAAGAAACACCAATCCAAAGATGATTCATCAGATGAACAATCTGGTCTAGCAGAAGGTGTCCCTTCCCTTTCCCATTTGTGCAGAGCATGAGCCCCCTGCCCCACACAAAACAATTAATCACTGAGCAGGGAAATAAGAGCTGAAGGTGGATAACAAAAGAAACATTCCTCTTGAGGAAGTAATTTTCAATCACAGAAGAAAGAGTGAGCACATTATGGACCTATTTTTGTATCATAATTCCTTTTGCTATATGATATTGCTCATGGTTCTATGACTATGAAGAGGTAAAGCTCTTTCCATCTTCATTAGCAGGGAGCTGGGAGACAGGGGAGTTGTTCACTAGGCAGGGAGATCAGACAGTCTCGTGAAAAATAAGAGAATTGGGGTAGGAAATCAGCAGTGCAGTGAGCAGCAAGCAGAAGGAAGCACTGTGGTAAAGGCAGGAGACCTGTCTGTAAATCAGAGAATCCTGAAAAAGTCACGGTGAGAGGGAGTGGAGCAGATCAGTGAGATGGTGAGATACTGTGGTCAGGCTGCTGGGATGAAAGATGGCTAAAATAGAAACAAAAGTGTTGGCAACCCTGGCTAAAGTGAGAAGATAAATACCATCTGCAAAGAAACAGAGATATGGATTAAAGTTTCTGATTTCTCACCTTTTCTCCTCTTGTTTATTTTGTTTCTGTTTTCATCTCCTTGACAGCTCACCCTGGAAAGGATCACAGTTTTGGTTGTCCCTCTGATGAGCTGAGCATCTTGCTCTTACTGAACAAAGATACAGTGGTGATAAGAAAGGAAACAAAGTGAAACCCTGACTTTCCTGAAATCCACAGGAATTTTTCAGTGATACCTGAAGACTTCAACCACGAGTTTTGTGAGCTCTTCACTTGGAGTCTGTATCAGTGTAGGTACCTACACACCCTTCACAGTTAATGACCAGAAAGAGGGGTTTCAGGGCTGTCATTCAGCTCTTCAAGAGAGAAATGTCCAGAAGAGGTAAAATCCTGAAAGAGCCTATTTCTTGCACAAATTATCAGCCTAGAAGGGCCTGGCTCTTGTGTAGATGTCTCTAATGCACCGAGATGAATCCTGCTGTCGGTGCCTGAAGAAGTGCAGCGTGTGATAAAGCCATGAAATCAGACTTGTGAAGGAAAGGAATGTGCCAGGCTGGGGGTCATTCCTTTCTCACTTCTTCATCAGGCTTCACTGCTTCCCTCTCCGCTTCCCGGGATAAGTCGCTCTCGAGAGTAAAAATGAGAATCCTCCAATCTGTGACTCATTTGAGTGCATAATACTGCCTGCAATGAGGGCTGGTGGAGATGCCTGAGGCAAGTCTTTCCATCAGCTCTGCTGGGACTGGGGAATGATGGAGGTGTTGGATGGAGGAACTGGCTCGAGCTGAGCTGGTAGAGGGAAGGCAGACTCTGAATTAGTCATCTGTCGTGATGAGGAGTAGAAGCTGAGCAGGTAAGTTATGGGGGGGAAAAAAAAACCCCACATGCATCATCCTTCAGTCTTCCAGACTCTCATTTCCATTTCCTAATGAAAAATGAACAGGCAGGCAACTAAAAGTTTAAAAAACTTTAAAAGGCCATTCAAAACTGACAGGGGAAAAAAAAAATAAAAATATCTGCAGCTCTTTAGAAAGTGCTGGGATTTCTAAGCAGATGGTCTGCTCACTTTCCTGAAGGATAAAAATTAAATTGATGTTTCTAAAGCAGCATCCAGGCCTTTAAAGGTAATAACCAGACACGATGTCATTTGCACTGAAGTGCAGAAAATTCTGGTAATGAACTGTGGGAGCAGAGTGGGTCCAGTCCACCTCCTGTGAACCAAAAGATGTACAATGCTCGAGGTACAGATGGCACAGGCACACTCAGCTGCTCCTATATGTCTTTTGTTTAGTAAATACTATATTTAATGGCCTGCCTTTAACTGCTGAACGTACTAAGTTAATTTTGCATCTAAATAGTAAAACTTCAAGGAACTTCATAATTGCGTATCTTTTTAGCAAATGACAAGCCATATGCTAGGAAATTTCAAGCCACTAATTAAACAAAACATGCCCAAGCATGTTTTTTAACAAATACTGTACATCGTTATTTAAATTCAGGGCAAATACTGTTCTGAGCACTACAAATAGCTAAAATGGTGTTTAATAAGATACACCATCTGCATTTCAAATTGATGCCACCCACATTCAAATCTCTTGAATAATCCCACTGAACAGTTACTGGGGAACAGAAATGCATTCATGGCTCGTTCCATGAATCTGATCCCACTGTTCTGGACAATTCTCGTTGGGTTATTAAACTCACTGGGGTAAAACTGCCAAAGTGCTGCCTGCCAGCTCCCAGCTCACACTCATCCAGAAGTGCACCAACCAAACCAAACTGTCCTTTCAGACAGAGCCCTGGAAAGGGAATAATTAGAAATAAATCAAAATAAATGTGAAGGGTTTTTTTTCTCTTTCACCCCCTGCCCCCATTCTATTTAGCTACTCAGAGCTACCAACATATGGAACCCTACAGATTGTGTAATCTCCAGATAACTGCTGGGGCCATCCCTCCATCAGCTGACAGGCAGCACACTGGAAGAGAATGCACGGAATAAACCTCAAAAAGGGAAAATTACGGCATTTGGGCATATAGGTATTTTTCCACTACTCTCCCCCCAGCCTCCCCAAGAGAACAAGCCTGAAATGCAACAGCTGTTTTGTTCAGCATCCAAACATCCACCCTGGGCTGGGTTTGCAGGTGTTCAGAGTCCAAAGCACATTGTCTTGTCTATGCCAAGACAGCTGGTGCGAAGTCACAGGCTAATTGTGACAATTCTCCTACCAAGGAGCTCCAGGGCGTAGTTGTGACAATTAACATGGCAGAAATGGAGCCAGGGAAGGGAGGGACTTCAGCAAAAACATCTGCTGGGAAAATTAAGTCAGTATGTCCCTTTTCTTTTTTTTTTTTTTTTTTTTTTTTTTGTGCTTTTTGTTGTTCAAGGCTTTTAAAATTTTGAGGGGGGCGTTTTCTTTTCTGGTCTGCAGCTGATGTTTTCTTGTGGACAATTACTCTCTCCCTGAGATTATTTATCAGTCCACTGTAAAAACTACTTGCAGCAAAAGCTGTGGGATTGTCTTAAAACCTCTGAGAGCTCGGAAATACAGCCAAGTCTCCCGTTCTACCTGGTTGGGTCAGAAATATATTGAATGACACCCAGAAGATTAAGCCAGAGCTGGTCCTGACACTATAAATAGCAAAGCAAAGCAGCAGCTCAGGGATTCTGCCTTTCAGCATTAACTGAATTTACTTTTTAGTGATTTAGAAGGGTGGCATAAAGATGAAATGTATCATTTATATCTGTGCTATGAAAGGCTCTAAAACTTGTGTGCAAAGCCCCATTAAACTGCCTCTCCTCCTGTGTCTGTGGTGGCAAAGGGACCGTATGTTTTCACAGGCATTTGGCCAGTTAGATACAGCCACCAGGTCAGTTCTTTATGTCATGTTCCCCACCTGATCCCCTTGGAAATGAGGCTCTTAACACGTTGTGTCTTTCCCCCTGGCAAGGATAAACAAAACAAAGACAGCAAAGACGCGCAGCTCGGCTTGGAATTTCACCCCACCAGTCCTGATGCTTTGAATCACAGGGAATTTTAAGACATTTTAAGACTTTGGTTGAACTGTTTAGATTTAGAGTAGGTTTTAGGAGGAAATTATTCCCTGAGAGGGTGGGCAGGCCCTGGCACAGGGTGCCCAGAGAAACTGTGGCTGCCCCTGGATCCCTGCAAGTGTCCAAGGCCAGGTTGGACAGGGCTTGGAGCAGCCTGGGACAGTGGAAGGTGTCCCTGAACATGGCAGGGGGTGGAATGGGATGGGTTTTAAGGTCCCTTCCAACCTAAACCATTCTGTGATTCCATGAACTCTCCTGATGCTGCAGGGTAGCTCCTCTCTCCCAGCTCTGCACCAGGACTCGTCTCTTGTGTTTCGTTCTGAGTTTTCTGGTTTTCACTTTGGATTTCAAGAGGACAGGGGTGTTAAAACTACTGCTGACCTTAGGGACTTGTGGCAGTAATAAACACATTGAGACTTTCTAAATCCACTCCTGCCACATTTGTGTTGTTTCAGCTTTCAAACACTGCTTCTTGTGGTGTCTCCCAAATCCCTTATGTGTGCTGTTAATGCCCTTTTCTGTGAGACACTCCAAATTTCTGAACCCAACCACAACAGCTCAAGAGACTCCTCTAGAGTCCACAAAACCTATTTAGGATGTAGATTTTAAACAGCTCCAACCAGTTTTAAGACAATAAATAAATAAATAAATAAACTGAACTTCATGGAAACCACAATGCTGAACCCCTGGCAGTGCTCTCAGAAATGATCCCTCACCACACCCCACTCTGGAAGGGGTTTCAGAAATGCTCAGCTCTCCTCTGTTCTTAATAGGTTCTGGGGGAGTTTTCACCAGTGACTCCATCAAAGTAGAGTTCGGCCAGCATTGAGTACTTCTGAAAATCTCATCCCTCTTCTATCAATCCATCCATTTTTAATTAAGAACAAAGAGGGTTACAGATGGTACTATGGATTAATGGTCTGAAAATTTTCGGTTAAATTTACATAAGCCAAAGAAATTATAATAAAAGTACATTTTGTTTTCTTTCTTTATCCTCCTTTTTCCCTTTTCTAACATTAGTCTCCTTGAAAAACAGAAAAATAGATATTCTTAATTCCCTTTTTTAAAAAGAATCGCTGAGTTCAGCATGGAGTCCATTTTGACTGCTAAGTTAAGAATCTGGGGTTAATTCTAACAAGGTTTTAAATGGACAAAAAGCCTTTAATCTTTACAGTACTGTGAGCCAACACTCATAGCTAAGAAAAAAAAAAAAGAATTAATTATCTGCAATAAATAGATGTATCTCAAGAAGCAGAAGGGAAGAAAGCCAGGACACAAAAATATTTTATCAGCCCATACAACAATATTTCCTTTCATGATCTATTTGGAGACCTCAGTTATAGAAGCACAGAATGGTTTGACTTGGAAGGGACCTTAAAAACCTTCTAGTTCCAACCCCATGCCATAGGCAGGGACACCTTCCACTAGTACAGGTTGTGCAAACACTATCCAAACTGGCCCATCCAACCATCATTTCCAAATTTTTCTGGAGCCATTCTGATTCAGGCTGGGTTTTTTTTGTTGAGCTGCCTTCTGAAACCCTGGCTACTGTTTGAAACTGCTCTTCTAAGGACACCAAGGATGACCAGACGGATGGTGCATGTCACCCATAAGGAAAGGTTGTGAGAATTGGAACTGGTCAGCCTGGAGAAGACTCCAGGGAAAGCTTCCAGAACCTTCAGTGCCTAAAGGGTACAAGAAACCTGGAGAGGGACATTTGGAAAGGGCATAGAGCTATACAACAAAGAGGAACACTTTTAAACAGAAAGAGGAAGATTTAGTTGGGATTTGGGGAAGAAATTATTCCCTGTGAGGGTGGTGAGGCCCTGGCACAGGTCCCAGAGAAGCTGTGACTGCCCCTGGATCCCTGGAAGTGCCCAAGGCCAGGCTGGACAGGGCTTGGAGCAACTTGGGATAGTGGAAGGTGTCTCTATGGTGGAATAATCTTTAAGGTCCCTTCCAACCCAAACCATTCTGTGATTCCAAATACAGAGGGTAGCTGAACAAATCTGACCTATTTCTTCCGTACAACATCCTTGTCTCCTGAGAATTTCAGTTATGTCCCATCTGTTCCTGCAATCAGCCCACAATGATTCTTTATTTCCCTCTGATTCTTTCTTTTTTTCCCTTCATCCCTTCTCTCCCCTGTTCCAAAGTCAGTGTAAAAAAATCCAGCTCTAGGAAAACATGGAGAAATCTGGCATTCGCTGTTTCTGCAACCCCAAACAGAAATCATATTAAAGCCTGAAGTTTAGTGAGTCTATGGATGTATGCATGGATAGATATGATTTATTGGATGTGTCAGGGGTTCATTTCGTCTTTAAATAGGAAAACCATGAGGTGTGACTTGATGACTTATTAAAAAAATGTCACACTACCTAGGAAGAGTGACACCATAAAATACTTACACATCCAATTCCTGAGAGGGGCTTGTCAGAAGGATATCCAGCATACCATTTAATGGGAAAAAATAATTATTCATGGATTGTTAGTTTTGCTTTTTACAAACAATGAGTCCAGTTAATTTTGTCATATCACTGGCTTGTGTTCGCAAGCTTCAATCACCCCTTTAAAACAGCCCAGCCTTCCCAGGGCACATGGAGTGAAAAGGCATCATTTTAATGGGCTTGTAGCTAATTAAAATGTGTGACATTCTGAATGTGGCTGGAACGTGGCACAAAAAAGTAATTACAGGACAATACATCATGTCATGGACATGTGGCTAAATGTGAGCATGGGCTGGAAAATACCACGGAGGAAAATCCAGCTTGAACCAGGCTCTTCCAAGCACTTGGGACTCTGAAGGTTTCATCCAGAAGTGGTGGATGCTTTTTCACTACAAATAAGTTCCAAGACCTGTTTTGCAATGTTCCAAGGTTCTGCCTTTGATGTCCTGGTGTAGATTGACCTGTCCTCACAGAGGGGTGGCTGCTGTTCAGGACAGTGTGGCAAACAATGTTTGATTCCCAGGGGCAGTGTTTTGTGCAGGGAACAAGAAGGATTTGTGGGTTTTGCCTGATGCTGTCTATTCCAGGCTGCTTGGTCTCCTTCAGTGCACCTGCTAAGGAAATTAATACATTCCATTATCCCAGGTTGCTCCAAGCTCCATCCAACCTGGCCTTGGACACTTCCAGGGATCCAGGAGCAGCCACAGCTCCTCTGGGCACCCTGTGCCAGGGCCCCACCACCTTCACAGGGAACAATTCCTTCCTAATATCTAATCCACATATATTTTCCTTCATAACATCTCATTGAGTAGGACAATGGATTTTTTCTTAAACAAGCAAACAAAAGAACTCCACCCCTACAAATTTTCTAGTATCATAAACTAAAGATTCAAGATGAAAGTACTTAAGTTTGGGGGTTTGTTTGGAGTTTTTAAGCAGACATTGTGAATTCCCTACAGGAAGGGAATACTTTTCATTAAAAAAATTAAGTTTGATTGACAATAGAGTTTGTCATCAGATGAATTTCTCTGGAAGTGATCTCAGGGGACAGAACTGCTGCCACCACTGTGACTCACAAAAGGAAGTAATGGAGGGGGTACAGGAGAGGGAAAAGGGACCAGAATTCCAGGTGAGTGTCAAGGATTTGTCTGTGCCACAGATCCCAGCAGATATTGCTAACAACAAACAGCCCTGTTAATGTCACAAAGGATGGCAAACTGACCTTTTCCCTGAGGGATCAGCACTGTTGGGGTTGTGTACTGGTGTGGAACTGAGCTGAAGAGAGAGAACCAGCTAACAATTTTCTTTTCTCCTTTTTATTAATAATTTTCTCTTTAGTTACAGTTATCCCTGAACCCCACTGTCACCTTTTGCTCCCTCCCTTTCAGACTGATCATCAGCACTGGATGTATGATCTTATCTAACCCCTTAGCTCCAGCAAAGAGCTGGATTTTGTTGTTAGTTATTTTTAAATACAAAGGGAAAATTGATTTCCCCCTTTAAAGAACTGCATTTCTGTGTCATGGTGATTAGGTGTGAATACTCCAATATCTTTCCCAGATAAAGAGAGCCTCCTGGGGGTGCTTCAAGGGAAATATTGTACTATAATTACTATTAGATGAGTTCCTCCCCCTCAGTATGGAAGTGAGCAGTCTGCAGTGAGGAAGCTTGTTTATGAAAGGGTTGCTTCAAAATAAAACAAACTTACTTTTACAAAAACTTGAGGTGCCTCCTCCATGGAAGGAACTTGAGAACTGGATAAGAAATGGAAGGGTGAGAAGCTCATTTACCAACATATATATAATTATAATAACCTATAATTATATAGGTTTTCCCCAAAACTATTCAGGATTTTAGACAACTTACTAAGTAGCTGCAGCATAAATAGAAAACCAAGGGGAGAGGAGCATAGGAATTACAGAATAATCACAGCAGGTCATGTTAACCAATTGCCCAGGGCATGTGGTGTCAGCTCATGAATATAAACCTAAATCCAATTCCATCTTCTGCTTGAGGAAATATCAGTCCCAGCTTTCCTGGAGGAGGACCTTGTGTGGCTGCAGTGTGGCATATTCCAAGGGACAGGGAGAATTCCATGCCTCCTGGTGATGCTCTTCCATCTGGCATTGCTAATTACACTTTCACCTGACACGAGGCTTGATTATTAATTGTCTTGGTTGCTAAAACTCATTCTTCTTCCCTGCCTTAGTGAAATGAATCAGAGATTTAGTGAGCCCAGCTCAGACTTGTCTCTACCTCCATGTCAGTATTCCCTGGAGCCTGGAGTCTTTGCTTTACATGGATGAGCTGCTTGTTTCAGAGACTGCTACCTCAGGTGGGTTCTGTAGTGGTATTTTCTCCCTCAGATCCTTTTGGCAGAGGGGTCACATTCTGTGTTCAGCATTCCCTGAACCAGGTCCTTGTTAAACTGTCTGTGTCCTCCTGTGCCTGCCCTATCCTTCAGTCTTGAAGTCTCCTTGAGGAGACCAATTGAGCCTGGAACAGACTTCCCAGGGCAGTGCTTGAAGCATCAAGCCACATGGTGGGGCACTCACACACAGGAGGTGGGACTCCTGTCTCCAAACAGCTACACCCACAGGGGACAAACAAAGTGGAAAAGCAATAGCAGAAATAATAATACCCCTTGTAGCCAACAACAAAAAGATTAAAGGATGTGGAGATGTGGCTTTTCTACACACCAAAGCAAAATCTGGGGTGAAATATGTACCTCCTCTGCCCAGGGTAAGTGTTTTAGCAATGAAACATCTCCTTTTCTCTACTTAGGGAGTATGGTCCTTTATTTCTTATTTATTTTTCTCCCTTGCGCTCTGAATTAGAAATATTTAAATTTTTCTATTCACCAAGAGATTTTTTTCACTTGGCATGAAGTGAACAGGTTCCTGCGGTCATATTTATTTCAGTTTTCACCAAATTGATTATTTTCTCTCCCACATCACTGCCATTCCTCTCTCCACTCTGGTAGCTGGATCTCAGGTCCCTTTGCATTCAGTCCAATTCAGAAGCAATTCAGTCTCAAACTAGAAGTTACCTCTTGTACACAGTTTACAGAAAAACAATAATCCTTGTCTTGGATGCAGTATCAGAGCAGCATGGAAACCTCACCTGGGATCCTACACATCCAACAGAGAGCAAGGATCAATCTCCACAGGACATGGCTTGTGTCTGGCAAGATAAGAGATGTGTTGGCATCAGTTCCTCCAGGAGAGGAAAGGCTTGCTTTGGGATTGTTCCACAGTTATTTCTGGCTTGCCCACTGAGTGAACAAGATGGCACTAAATAGCTGATATTCCACAAATATGTCCCAGAGGAGGTGTGGCTGCCAATGCCTGTCACACACGCAGACAGACACAGTCTCACACAGTTTGTGGAAATACAAAGAGCCCAAACTTCAGCTGACTGAAGTGCTACAGATCACCACATAAAGGAGCCCAGCCTCCCATTAAATATGTGTATAATAAATATAAAATTGTGGCTTTAGAAGCCACACAAGCCAGAGGATTTTGTGCAGAATGTGGATTGTCAGTGTTTCCTGTTCCATGGGGCTTTCTCCCTCTCTTAGTGACACTGATGTCACCTGCTCTTTACCAGTCTGTGGGCACAGCCCAGGCTGGGCTGAAACCCTTCAGGGAGCTCAGAAAGCTTCGTTCTTGGCAGTGGTGTCACTGCTCCTTGGGGTGCCATGGTGGTGGCAGAGGACAACCATGATGACAGGAGCTGTGTGCACGTTGTGCCCCTGAAGTCGAGGCACACCCGAGCCCTGTCCCTGCAGACTCCAGATGTCCTGCCTTTGTGTCCCTGAAGACTTCACCCTTCTGTGCAGCCTCAGGGAGTTTGGTCAGAATCCCTCTCACCAGCTTGGGAATGTCTTTTCCTATTTACCAAGACAAGTGTGAACTCTTGACTGGGTAAAATTCAACTCAAGCGAAGAAATTTTCCTTCTGTTGAAAGCAGGAGGAATTTTGCCCTTCATTTAAATGCAACTTGAGACTAAAATGCAGATCTAATTTAGAGGGGAATGGAGAAGTGGATGTCCTTGGTTCAACGACACTACATTGAAGTAGAGATTAACTTTTAACTGTGGAGAAAGGAGAATTTTGATGGCCAGGGGAAGTTCCTCCTGCCCTCTTGCATCAACAGGACAGAGCCTTTTCAGCTGATCGATTATGGCAAAGGATATCTGACTTTTTTAAGATGTGTCATATGCCACATGCCTTTGGAAAGTGGCTGGGACAGGCAGAAATCTGCAGAGGAACAGGGAGCTGTTCCCTTGGGTCTAAGAATCATAAAAAACATAGAAATATTCTTACTTGGGAAGAACCCGTCTGGATCATCGAGTCCAACTCCTGGCCCTGTACAGGACACTCCAAGAATCCCACCCTGTGCCAGGAAGCATTGTCCAAACACTCCTTGAACTCTGACTGGCTTGATGCTTCAACCACTGCCCTGGGAAGTCTGTTCCAGGCTTAATTGTCTCCTCAAGGAGACTTCAAGACTGAAGGATAGGGCAGGCACAGGAAGACACAGACAGCTTAACAAGGACCTGGAATACCACAGGTCAAGACTGGGAGACTGCTGGAGAGAGCAAAGCAGCCTTTTAGAATTTGCTGAAAACCAGAAAACCACTGAGCTGATTGAAATCAAAAGGAGAAGCAAGGACACAGTGTCTTCTCTTTCTTCCTCTGCTCTACCAAATTGCTTTGAGCTGTCCTAATTAAAAATGTAATTGTTCTAGTCTGTGTAAAACCCAGATTTTTGAATTTAAAGGGCACTGTGGTCTTCAAGGGGATATTACTGAATTATCCAGGCACATCCTTGGGAAAGTTTTGCTTGATTTGTGGTCCCATCACAGTAATGAACAAAACCCCACAGCAGCGCTTTCCAAACTGAATCCGTTCTGTGACCACCAGTAGGATTCAACCTCATTAATCCTGGCTCCAGGCAAGACATCTTTTCTCTAAGCCTCTCTTACAAGAGATTTCACAAGCTGGATTTTGAGGAACACCAGATGCACAGTGACAGGTAGCCACCGTGTCACCCCTTCTGTGAACTGCAGGACAGAGTGGATGTTGCTGCTGTCAGCTGCAGTCTGGGACACAAAAATCACAAAAATGTTCCCCCAAACATTCACCTTTCCCTGGGAACACAAGGAATCACTGCATCCATGGTCAAAATACTGCCACAACATTGGCTCAGGGGCCTCAAAGGTGAATAAGGATTGGAGTATCTCTCAGTGAAGAAAGGCTGAGAGAGTCGAGACTGATTTGATTTGATTTGATTTGATTTATCTTTGTGAGGGATCTTTTCAAGGTGTGTAAATACCTGATGGCTGAGTAAAGGAGATGGACCAGGTGGTGTCCAGTAACAGGACAAAAGACGATGGTCATAAATGGAAATGCAGGAAACAATTTAAATACAAGGTAAATAGCCATTTTTCTTGTCAGGGTGATTAACTGTGGAGTTTTCATCCTTAGAGATTTTCAAAGCCAGCTTTCCTGGATACTTGCCTGGGGATCTAGCTGGTGTTTCTGTGGTCGTGGGTTTTGGAGCAGACAATCTCCAGAGGTCCCCTCTGAGCTCAGCTGTTCTGTTCCTCTGTGACACTGATCAGCCCCTCCATGTTCCACCCCCAAAGAAATCAGCTGCAATGAATGCATTTGCTAATTACTCTAAATCCCACCTTCCCCCTCCCC